CAAAATGGATTAAAGACCTAAATGTAAGGCCGGACACTATCAAACTCTTAGAGGAAAACATAGGTAGAACACTGTATGACATAAATCACAGCAAGATCCGTTTTGATCCACCTCCTAGAGAAATGGAAATAAAAACAAAAATAAACAAATGAGACCTAATGAAACTTAAGAGCTTTTGCACAGCAAAGGAAACCATAAACAAGATGAAAAGACAACACTCAGAATGGGAGAAAATATTTGCAAATGAAGCAACTGACAAAGCATTAATCTCTAAAGTATACAAGCAGATCATGCAGCTGAATATCAAAAAACAAACAACCCAATCCACATATGGGCAGAAGACCTAAATAGACATTTCTCCAAAGAAGATATACAGATTGCCATCAAACACATGAAAAGATACTCAACATCACTAATCATTAGAGACAATGAGGTATCACCTCACACCGTTCAGAATGGCCATCATCAAAAAATCCACAAACAATAAATGCTGGAGGGTGTGGAGAAAAGGGAACCCTCTTGCACTGTTGGTGGGAATGTAAACTGATACAGCCACTATGGAGAACATTATGGAGGTTCCTTAAAAAACTAAAAATAAAACTACCATATGACCCAGCAATCCACTACTGGGCATATACCCTGAGAAAACCGTAATTCAAAAAGAGTCATGTACCACAACGTTCACTGCAGCACTATTTACAATAGCCAGGACATGGAAGCAACCTAAGTGTCCATCGACAGATGAATGGATAAAGAGGATGTGGCACATATATACAATGGAATATTACTCAGCCATAAAAAGAAATGAAACTGAGTTATTTGTAGTGAGGTGGATGGACCTAGAATCTGTCCTACAGAGTGAAATAAGTCAGAAAGAGAAAGACAAATACCATATGCTAACACATATATATGGAATCGAAGAAAAAAAAAATGTCATGAAGAACCTAGGGGCAAGATGGGAATAAAGACACAGACCTACTAGAGAATGGACTTGAGGATATGGGGAGGGGGAAGGGTCAGCTGTGACAAAGTGACAGAGTGGCATGGACCTATATACACTACCAAACGTAAAACAGATAGCTAGTGGGAAGCAGCCGCATAGCACAGGGAGATCAGCTTGGTGCTTTGTGACCACCTAGAGGGGTGGGATAGGGAGGGTGGGAGGGAGGGAGACGCGAGAGGGAAGAGATATGGGGACATATGTATATGTATAACTGATTCACTTTGTTATAAAGCAGAAACTAACACACCATTGTAAAGCAATTATACTCCAATAAATATGTTAAAAAGAAAAAAATAAACCAAAAATTATTATAAATGCTAGAGGGTTTAAATCCTTTGCCTTCTGCTAAGAAATTATGATTTAAAAGGGACTCAAAACTAACAAGCAGAACAATTGTAAAATAATAAAGGGCTACCTTGTAGGCAAAGACCAAACTAATCCAGGGAGACGAGAGGAGCTGTTAAAAAAGCAAATCCTCAGGCTCCAGCCCAAAGCTACCAAATCAGGCACTTTGAGAGTGGGACCCACAAGTCCTCCAAGGGATTCTGATGCCTGCCAAGTTGGAGAACCAAAGTCAGAGATCAAAGTTTATGGCATCAAAAACTGTGTAAGATTTCATAATCTGTGAAGCTTCCCCATTTTCCGTTCGTTCTTTCTTCCTTTCTTTCTTTCTTAATTCCCGTTGCTCCCTCTGACTAGTATCAAAATGAAATGAAGCTGGACTTCATGGGTTCAAAGGAACCTGCCTTGGGATTAAACTCTTGAGGAATAGAGTGAATACAGTAACTTTAAAGGGGAGTCAGAAGCAGGCTAAGTCCCTAAAGCCAGCTGCAAGGAGGAAGGGAGAATTGCGAGATCTGGCCAGACTTGAAATAGAGCCCTAAGCTGAAGAGACATCTGTGAGGCTCCCTGGCAAGGCCCAATGAACCCACATTCAGTATTAGGTCTCAGGTCCCTCTCTTCACTGTATATCAAGATACACTGGGGACACTCCACATGGCACATAACCTCCAGGAGCCTTTCTTTATGTTCGAGTGGAGACAAAATAAATAACAGATCACTTGGAAAAGACATTATGAAAAACAATTGTTGAAAACTAAAGTAATTTGAGAACAGTGACCAAAAAAATATAGTGTGCTAACTCAACGTGGGATTGGCTTGCTTTTGGAACAAAACATCTTTTACTCCCTCTGCAGAAACAAATTATATGCTGCTCTGCCTTCATTTTGGTAACTAAATTCCCATTACCGCATTATTACTGGTCAAAAGATGTAAGAAGCTTTTCTTTAGAAGTATGACGCTTCCAGTGACTCTCGGCTTACAAAATTATCATACAACATACGGACAAGGCCAGAGATGATTCTGAAGCTCCCAAACTATATTTCCTAAATATAGTAACACTTTGAAGCACTCATACAGCTATGACCAGATATTTCTTTCCCAGTGGTTCAAAGTGACTTTAGTATCACAGATTTTATGTGATCTTTCAAGTCCAAAAGTCATGGCTCAGATTGAGATTCTCTCTCTTTTTTTGTTGTTGTTGACCACCAGGGGCCACTTTGCAATGTCAGAAAAGTTTCATCCTATCAATGATCCGTTAAGTTCTCAAGGATTAAAACAAACGAAAACCAGCAAAAAAAACCCTAACTTAAGAATTACTGATCGCCTCCTGTCCTAACACAGACTCCAGCTCTGCCTTCACAGAAACCCACAGGGAAAGAGGAGAAACAAGGTTTCAGGGGATGCTGAATATAACCTCTTTCCTGAACTAGTGGTTTCCTCATGTTCATTACCCTCACTGCTTTTGTTATCCTTTGCCTACCATGGTCACTGCTTTGAAACGACTAACCATAGTTTTAAAGTTATAATTGTTTCCCAATTTTTAATTAATCATAAAATTATGTACCAACCAGAACTGTTATCTGCATGAGAAAACTGTTTCACAGCACTAAGTTTTTAAAGCTCCAGCCAAAAATTTTAAGTCTGCATCCATTCCCTCACTGTCAGTTAACGTATTTTTCCATTAATGAGGTTCTTTGTTGCTGTTTTCGTTCTTTTCTTTTTGGCTGTGCCACACAGCTGGTGGGATCTTAGTTCCCGGACCAGGGATCGAACCCAGGCCCCCAGCAGTGAAAGCACTGAGTCCTAACCACTGGATTGCCAGGGAATTCCCAATGAGGTTTTTTTTTTTTTTTTTTTTTTTAAAGCAATCCTACCCAGACCCCTAAGAATCTGAGAATCCTCCCAATATGGAAGCCACAGGTCTATAACCAGGCTTCCCAGAAGCTAGGATTTGGGGAGCCTAAAATCTGTGTTTTTAAACAACTGATTTTGATGCATCTAGTCAAGTGTATAGTTTTCTCTACTTGGAAAGTTTCTGTCCACTGTTAAACCCAGTTCATTCAACTGACAACTCAAATGTCACTTCTTAGAGTGGCAGTATATCTTTGGTAAGAGCATGGGTTTTCAAACTGACTGCCACACTTCTAATCCTGGCTCTGGCCCCTGGACAAGTTACTGAATCTTTTTATGCTTAATTTCTTCATTTGGAAAAGAGGGACAATAACATTACCTACCTCATATGGTTGTTGTGAAGATTAAATGAATTAATCTAAGTAAAGCAGTAAAGACAGAGCTGGCACACAGTAAATGAACAATCAATAACTTCTTATTTCTATGATTTTCCTACCTCTCCTACATTAAATCAATAGCTGTATACAATATCTGTTAAGACTCTAACATTATGTAAAGCAATTACATTTTAAAAACTTGTCTTCCACACTAGATTATGAGTTCCACAAGAATACAGACCATGACTCATTGATTTCTCTATCCTCAAATCATATTCTCTTATCATGCTCTACTGTCACTGAATTATTTATCAACCCAGTGGAAAACTAATTGTCGTTGCTTTTTCGTTGGAGATTACTTACTTTACAATGTTTCTATAAGCCAAATTTTCACCACTGCAGGCTTCTAACACTTTTTATAATGAATACACATGCATTTGATGAACTAGAAAAATGCTCTATTAAGGGCCCATTCAGTGTGAAGTATGATAAGTAAATAAACACTACTATTTGTGAGGGAACTGCAGCAAATGCAGTCTAGTTCTGACAGTTATATTAAAGTCATAGTTCTTTGCCCACCTTTACATCAAGAACACATTTGGCAAGTGGAGTAGAGGAATCACTTTAATGAAATTCAATCTTTCATTTATCCAATGAATACTCACTGAGTATCTATTCACATGCCAAATAGGAAAGAAGGATGACTTTTATGAGATTCAATCAATCATGTGTTCAACAAATATCTATCCAGTGCCTACTAATTGGCCCATTATAGTTCCAGGCTCTGGGAATTCAGCAGTGTATAAATCAGACAAGATCTGCTTTCAAAAAGTTAACATTCTTGTGAACAAGCAGATAATGTCATTCACCAAGTAAAGAACAGGAAAAAGTCTAATTAGCTTAGAAAATGTAATTATGGCTTTGGCATGATAGCTAACTGGAAGTGTTTTATGCTTTGGTAGGAGATCATTATAACATGGCTTGTTAACTAATGGATTTAGATAGACTAAATGGAAAAGTACATTTAGAATTGAAAGGACCTTTAAGGGAAGTGATCTATTTCAAATTTAAAGGGAGAAAAGCACAAGAGAGTACGTTAGATTCCAAAGGCAGAACGAGGACTAGGTTACAAACTACAGGGAAATAGATTCATCACTCATTTCTCCTCTGGAGATGTACATGAATGCCCTAGAAGATGTAAACTTTTCACAAGTGATCCATCTACTGCATTTGCTAGATGTGGTCTTGCTAAAAAGATGCGCAAAAAGAAATGTGACCTTAATACCACTCTCAGAACTCTACTGCATTTGGTCTGATTCCTTCACAAACAGCAAGGGGTTTTCACAAGCGGACTGTGCACATGGAGAGCAGCTCCGGATGAAGGGCGATGACGGCTCTTACAGAACAGCGAGCTATGCGCTCCTCACCTGCGGGAACTTGACAATGATGTGGTGCGGAATGCGCATCACATTGTGCACGTAGTCGAAAGTCTCGGTAACTTTCCTTTTACTTGCAGTTAACATCTTTGGGATTTTGGTGATCATATGTTGAATTTCATTATGTTTAAAACCTAGTTCAAGCCGGTAAACCTAAGAGAAAGATAGAAATAGTTATTTTGGTAATATGCCAGGGGACACATTGATTCTTTCAAAATTTAAAATAAGGACATTAAAATCTGGAGATGGGGCTTCCCTGGTGGCGCAGTGGTTGAGAGTCCGCCTGCCGATGCAGGGGACACGGGTTCGTGCCCCGGTCCAGGAAGATCCCACATGCCGCAGAGCAGCTGGGCCCGTGAGCCATGGCCGCTGAGCCTACGCGTCCTGAGCCTGTGTGTCCGGAGCCTGTGCTCCGCAGCGGGAGAGGCCGCAACAGTGAGAGGCCCGCGTACCGCAAAAAAAAAAAATCTGGAGATGGCTATTCCAATGACCTTACGGGTTCATAGTTTCCTGCTTCTGGGGTAACCTGAATTTTAAACCCCTCTCCTGAGGATGAGCTAATCACAGCCTGATGACCACAATGAAGATCACCAAAAGGAGCTAGCATAATTACGAAATAAGAGTATCGGTGCTCACAGGAGGCCTGCGCAGGTTATCTGTACAGGCCCCACACCACACAGACCAACAGTAAGATTCTCAAAGTGCTTTCTGAGCCTCTGCTCCCAAGCACACTCCTATGCATGTCATCTGGAAAAACTACATGTCAAAACTCTAAACAGAGATGACTAAAAAAAACCAAAACACTCCAATGTAGGTTAGGTCCTCTGTGTGCATTCATGGTATCCCATGCTCCCTGACCAATCCGTTGCTCTCATCGCTCTGCGGGAGATTCCCCCCACTGGACCGTAAGCTCCACAACGGCAGGGACTATCTCCCCAGCACAGTGCATGGGCAGGCGCTCAATAAAAATTTCTTCAACGGCCGAGTATGAAACACTTTAGGCACCTCAGAAAATAGGCTTAATATAATAATTTCAAATACTCCGACAGCTTTGTATACTAACAAGTCAGCTGCCCCTGGTTCTATCCTATTCCCTTGGAGGGAGGACGGTAAGGAGTGTCTGGTATGTTCTCTGATAGATCTAGAGCTGGCAGTTGGCACAGGTTCTAGGAGAGCAATATGCTGGCTACTGCTCTCTTCAAAGAAGCCTTCTGGCTCCAGCCTCCACAGCTCGTCTCCCGCCTAGGTGACGAAGACACAGACCCTCACCCTGGGCAAAGGAAGCAGCTTCCAGGTCCCATCCAGATACCTAACCTGCTCCGCTAGGATTACGGGTATCAATGTCTGCAAGGAGACTAACTCATGTGACACCTGGTTGACATGTGAAAAAATTATAAACTAAGATAAACTGCTTGCTAGATATTTATTATACCATTTCCTCTGTCTATCTTTTTAGAAATAACTTCTTTTACAATCTAGTTTTCTTTAAGATGATGGGAGCAAATCTATCCTCTTCAGAGGACTTAACCACTTAAAGAAGCTGATTTCTCAAAAACTAACAGTCATCCTACCTTCATGTTTTCCTTCACAGGCTCCAGACTTCCAGTTAGTAGCCTTGGGAGACGAATTACCAGATCTCTAGTCTATAGTTATAAAACAATCTATTATTAATATGTATGCATATTCAACTAGGTTGGAAAAAACAAGGCATTACTAGGAATACAAAACTAAAATTTAAAATATGACCCAGTAGAAAAATGCTAAGGAACCCAAAAATACATAAACTTAATATTGTTTGAGGGAAGAAAACAGTGCTCAGAATAAAACTTGAGAAACCAACTTGATGGAATTATTACAAAATGGTATAGCTATATGATTAACCTAGCAAGGTAATTCATTCTTGTACAGAAAATATCAGGCATTTATAGAATTCATACAGGCCAAGTATCTGTTAGAAACATGAGATTTAACAGTTACTAAATGTAGCTGACATGGAAACATACAAATTCTCTCCTTCTCTTTACCTTCTTCACACTAAGTTCAAGTTCTTTCTGAAAAAATCCCAATCTGTTATCCAGTCTTTCCACTGAAAAACTCAGCAAAAATGGTGCATTTCTGACCATCTGTGCAATATCCACTTTACTGAAATTTTTTGACAGTAGATAAGCCACCCTAGAGAAACAAACAAAATACATGCACATATGATATTTACTAGTGTCATATTCCCACACCAAAAAAAAGTTTAAGTAAAAACATTCTATAATAATGGCCCCAAATATGGTTAAAACAAAACGAGCAGCCATCCAACTCTAGAATGGTTTCCATTTATAACTGGAAACAGAAAATATTTCTGAAATCCGCTAACAGACAGATTCCCTTTTCAGTTAATCTGACTTATTAGTTGGTAGAAAAAAATGAAATAGCTTCTATTTAAGTTTTTTGTTTTTTTTGTTTTTTGGGTTTTTTTTGCTAAGAATAGAAAACACACAAATTAAGAAAAGATGGGATTCAGAACTCTTTTTACAAAGAAAGACCATCAAGCACGGCTAAGACTGAAAAGAGGAAATTTTTTTTTTGGCTGCGCTGTGCGGCTTGCATGATCTTAGTTCCCCGAGCAGGGATCAAACCCAGGCCCCCAGCAGTGGAAGTGTGGAGTCCTAACCACTGGACTGCCAGGGAATTCCTGGAATTTTTAATTTTAGTACATTTACTGAGAATGTATTTTCTTTCCCCCCCACCTTTTTTTTTTTTTTTTGCGGTACGCAGGCCCCTCACTGTTGTGGCTTCTCCCGTTGCGGAGCACAGGCTCCGGATGCGCAGGCTCAGCGGCCATGGCTCACGGGCCCAGCCGCTCCGCGGCATGTGGGATCTTCCCGGACCAGGGCACGAACCCGCGTCCCCTGCATCGGCAGGCGGACTCTCAACCACTACGCCACCAGGAAAGCCCCGAGAATGTATTTTCGTAAATAACTTTTGCTGCGGTCCTTCAATATGTATTTTGTTAACAACTGAGAAGTTTCCTGCTAAATTTCTGGGAAACAAAGTAAGGTAGCAAAATACAGGAAGTTTGACTATAAAATAACATTATTGATTTTTTTAAATCTATAAACATAGTAAAAGGCAGTTTAATTAAATGCCTGAAATATCCCTGGACATTATCTTGTTTAATTCTCATCAGAAAAACAAAAACAAAAAAACAAAACAACCCCCTGTGGGCCAGGTAAATTTCCCACATTGCATTTGAAAAAACACACTCAGAGGAGTTAAATAACTTGTCCTAGACCACCAGCTAATTAATAACAGAGCTGAAACTTGAACTCAGGTATGCCTACTTCTAATGACTACGATACTTTTATACCATATATTGGAACTTATTATATTTTATACTCAGTGACTATTACCCCTTTAAACCAGTCCCTTAGAGGCAATGAGAGAAAAAAAACTGATAAATTTAACTACATACAAAATTTAAATGCAAGGCAAAAAAGAAATCATCAACCAAGTCAGACAAGTGACAGTCTGGGAAAATATTTACAACATGTCACAGAGAAGGAACTAATTTTGTTAATATATAAAAAAACACCTACCAAAAAAAGAAAAAGGCCCAATTAAGAATAGCAAAGGACACTTCTAATTTATAGAAAAGGAAATGTAAACAGAAGTTCAACATAGGAAAAGATCCTCAAAAAAAAGAAAAGATCCTCCAAACATCTGATGCTCCAAACGTCATTTCCAAAACAATGAGGCAATGTTTTCATCTATGAAATGAACTGAAATCCTAAAGTTTGATGACACTGTATTAGTGTGGAAAACAGGGAAACTGGCACTTCTGTACACTGTGGGTGGGAGTGTAAGCTGGAAAACCTGTATGAAGGACAATTTGTCAATATCTATTAAAATTATAAACGCATATATCCTTTGACCTAGAACTTCTACATCTAGAAATGTATCCTACAGATATACACCAATATGTGACATGATGTATATATAAGAGGAATCACTGCAGCTTCTTTGTGATAGTAAAGCCAGAAACAACCACCATGTTTACCAAAAGGGGACTAGACACATCCACAGTATAAACTATAAAAGGGTTAAAATAGGCAGAGCCAATAAAAACTATCCCCAACATAGAGTTAAGGTAAGAATGTGAGGTGCAGAATGGTATGCATAAATGCTACATACTGTATGTACATGTGTTCTTGTGTATGTGTATACATAGATACACATGCATGCTTGTATATGATAGAACATTCTTAGCTAGTTGAACAAAAAACTTGATAATAGTAGCTGCCGCCACAGATGGGTCTTGCAAGGCTGATGAGGGACAGGAATATGTAGGTTGGGAAGGAGAATTACCATTTTTTTCCTTTGTTTTGGACACAGGAAAGATCAATATCTGATAAAAATATTATTGAAACTGTTATCTACTGTGATAACTTTTCCAATAAAAAATTAAGATATAAGGCCCAGCCGAAAGAAAATTTCTAATAACTTAAATGCAGATTATTCATTTGAAAACTCTTAAAAAGAATCAACCAACTTTTTAATACATTTCAAATTCTCTTCATTGAAAAGAAAACAAGTATATGCGATCAGTGCTATTATAGAAATTCTAGAAAATAAGACTGCTGTACATACCAGAGCCAGAAGGTAAGTTCAAAAAAGATTATCATACCTTTGCCTCTTCCAGGAGAAGCTTACTTTTCACTGTATACCCTTTTGAGTACATGTGGTAAATTACCTATTAAAAACTTCCAAGTAACTTTTTAAAATGCTCCAGTTTACTTTGGCAGTCAGCCAGGTTTAGGAAACATTAGACTATACTATTACATGAGAGTATTCTTTAATTGTTAGGAGCATGTGTGATCTTGAGCAAATTAACTTAAGCTGCTTTTAAGCTTATGTTTCCTTCGTAGATTTAAACGTAGGGAGACAGTACAATGTAGTAGCCAGGACTCTGGAGTTAGACTAAGTGGATTTGAATCCCACTGCCACTTACACTAGATGGGTAATCTTGGGCAAATTATTTAACCTCTCTGTGCCTCTCCTGTAAAATGGGGATATTAATAATAATGGTGCAGTAGGCAGCCTCTGAAACAGTTCCCAATGATCTCCACCTCCTGGTATGTATTCTTTCTTGAACTAAATCTTGAGCAAAAGGGCAAGTTAGTTTTTAAATGGGGAGAGAATGAGCGTTCCAGACAGTCGGGAGGAGCAGAACTAGACATGTCAGACTGAGTCTCCTAGAATCATTCTTTCCCTCCCCTGTATTGTAATAGCCTGTCTATATTCCACCAGACTGTAAGTCACATGAAGGGAGAGAGTGTGTCTATCTAAGTGCCTTGCATATATAATAAGGGTTCAAACTATTCAATATAAGAAATGTAGTTTTTTTGGTTCTGTTTTTTCCTAGTTCAGAGACTAGACTCTGATAGTTCAAGGAACTGCAAAGCTCTCTGAAACCGGTGTGAGAATAGTCCAGGGGGAGAAGATTAGAGGCAGATTAGTTAGGAGACAGTTGCGGTATTCTTCATGTGAAATGATGGGGACCTGAGGTAAAGTATTCAAAGTGAAGATTAAGAGAAATGGATTGACTGATTTGAGAGCAATAAAAATAGAACCAACAGGCCTTGGTAGTTTATTAGATGTGGATGATAAAAGAAGAGAAGCCAAAGTTAACACCAGTATTTCTGATCTGGGCAGCGGGGTGAACAGTGTTCTCATTCAGGCAATCTGGGAAGACCTAATTTACGCGAGAGGTGGGGGCGATGATAAACCCAAGATGTGAACTTAGGAGACACAGACTCTGCCTCACTCTCTGGTGTGCCCAGTGCCCAGCAGGATTCTGACCTCACAGATCAATACTATCTCACTGTATCAATTCTCACAGATGCAATAAATTCTTTGAATGTTGAATGAAGTACAAAGATGTTTATAAAAGTGCTATTTAAAGAAGAAAAAAAGGAAAAACCCAAATAGACAGAAATGATTAAGCAAATTATACAATATTTGCCAAAACAAGGTCAAATGTCTACCATCAAAAATTGTCCAGAAAGAACAACAGAAAAGATCAGCCTTTCACAATTTTAAGTGTACTATCAGATAATTTAGCCATGGTTAATGGATTTTTAAAAAAACTTATCCCAGTTTCCAAAGGATTGACTTAGCATGAAGTTGAAATCATAAAAATAATGATGGGTAGTTGAACAAAAGAAATGATTTAGATACTTAATTTTGATCAAAGAAGGTCCATAACAAAAAAATAACATTCACATTCATTAATTACCTCAGTAGATCCTTGTGCTGCTGAGACTTAAAAAAATAACTTACACATATATTTCTTCATAGCCACTTCTAGGATTATGTGAAAATCATTCTAAAAGCCCTACCTGGTCTTAAGATTTTCAAGGTCTTCAGAGAAAATAGCATAGTTTTTCGTCAGGAATGTTCCCAGTTGGTTATCCTCTATGCCCAAATCTTTAAGAAACAGGAGTATTTGCTTAATGTCTTTTTCAAAATCCAGTCGCAGAAGGAGGTTGGCTGCATCTGGATGTTTTTCTATCTTGGATAAATCCACTCCTGTAATAAGTTACGAACACCATTTGAAGAGAACTGCTTGGCTGAGCCATTAAACTTTATGTACAGAAACACAAGAAATCACTGATGGAGATCAACAACCCATCCCAAGGAGACCTGAGACAGGCCAATGGAAACTTCTAAATATTTTTAAACTAATTTGGTTGCAGAAATAAAAATAAATTTTTTAAAAATGTAGTACTTATTTCAAAGCCATGTATAAAGGAAAACAGTGCACTTGGGGCTAAATTTCCACCCAAAACAAATTCACTACGTCATATTGACCTAGGATCATCATTTTTACCGATGGTTTCTTGAATATTGTTTGCAGGATGCTTATGTGCCCCTAATGATCTCCACAGTAACTGATTAACTGGTAATTTCTGCAGGGTAACAAACCCTATGAATTGTTACTTTCTTTGAAGTTTATCATTTCTTTAATTAAAAGCATTATTTTAAAAATTTGTTTCTGATCCCCTCCACAGAAGGAATAAAAGTTACCCTGTGTCTTACTCATTGTATTTTCTTTATGCTTTATTAGCATAAAGACAAGTACCTTGAAGGAGCTCAAGAAATGTCTGCATGAAGCAGGTGAACATATACAGCCCTCAAGCACAAAACGAAGCAGAAAGTATACCACCTTCAACCTTCACATATCCTTAGAATCTTAGGTAATCCAAGTAAATGAGACAAGGGACAGGAGAGATTAAGAAGGGGGAGAAAGCAAGTTGTTATTTTACTTTGGTTATGGATATAATTCGATGTTCACGTTAATTAGGCAGGGAATCAAAGTAACCCTTGATTCAAAATTCTCATTAAAACTAAGCATTTTATTCTCTCGCTTTTTTCCTTTTACCTGATTTTTAAAAATTAAACATGAATAGGAAAGGCCTATTCCTTATCTTTAAAATAAACATTTGAAAATAATGTAAAACTTTAGTTCAGACTTAAATTTTATATTGCTAAAAATATTTCTTCAGGTTAAAATGTAACTCTCAAACCAATTTCTAGATGCAACTTTACAGTCTTAAATATAAAAACAATGAAATAAAAGCACTGTTTTTTAATGGTGTCTACAACCAGAAAAATAAATTATAATTCCATGTATTATTAGATCCAAATATAATTCCAAACCCAAATTTCTTGATATTAAAACAGGTATTGATATAAGATGATCATGAACAGAAAAACAGATTACACACACACACACACACACACACACACACACACAATGAAGACACAGAATGAAGACCAAAAACAGATCCAGGATGAACTACAAATCTAGTATACAATAAGGACATTTCAAATCAATGAGGGAAAAGATGGATTATTCATTAAAATATAATGGGACCTCTAGCTATATATTTGAAAAATAATAATTCCTTCTATGTCTGATACAAAAATTAATTTCAGATAGATTAAGAATCTAAATATGTACTACCACTCTAAAGCTACTAGAAGAAAACACAGAATTTTAAAAATAATATTAAGTATGACTACACAAGCCATTGTATGGCTTTCTGTAATACATGTATTTGCATAGAAAAAGGTGGGGTAATGTATGTATTTGGGTAGAAAATTTGTACTCAACAAACTGGTGACAGTGGTTACCTTTGGAAAGTGGAACTAGAAATGTAGAGATGGTAAGAGTTCTTTCTCCTGTAACAGTCTGCACTTTTAACAACTAGATGTAATTCTTTTATAATTTAAAAATAATACTAATAGAAAAATAAATTAAATTATTCGATGGATGGATAAATAAGATAGAAACTAGTTCCAAAAATCTGTGATAAATGTGGGAAGGGATGCTTTGAAAATAACATAAAGGGTTCGGACTCCAAACTTAACTCAATATTACAGATGACATGTGCTGAAGTGCCTCACTCAGCATGAGCCGTCACACCCTGACTGTGCTGAAATCGAATTCCTGAAAAGCTGCTTCTTAACAGCAACAGGAGAGCAGAATCTCACCAGGAGAGCACACTGCTGTCAGCACAAATACTTGGGCTTACTCACGATTTCATTAACTTGAAAAAATAGTCACTGAATGCCTCTCATGGGACCAGGCACTTATGCGGATATAAAAAATGAATAATACATGATTCTAACTTCTAGGTGACCACAGCCTAAGTTGGCTTTACCCCATCAGTTCAGTAACTATAATCACCACTGTATTCAGTTATGGTTACACATACTTAGTGCATCAATCAGGGTCTGGCAGGCAACAGTAGTTGTCCTAGAAAGTTCAAATGAAAAACACTTTAATGAAGGGACTCTGTACAGTGGTGTGAGCAGAGTCAAGGGAACAAACAAGGGCATCCCTAGCGCTAAAGGGACAGGGAGGAAAGAGTGTTATGAGAACCCAGAGGGAGCCGGAAGCTATAAAGAAAGGGCTGCTCAGTAGGAGCTGTTGCCATGGAACAAGGCAGTTCCATGACCCAAGGCTGGGAGGGAAAAGGGAAAACAACTCCCACCTGCCCTCCCTCTTCTCCTACAAGTGCCCCCCACTGCTGAAGCTGCCCAGAAGCCAGCTGGCAAAGGAGGCCAAATGCAGAGGTTAGCCTCCTGGGATAAAGAACAAGCAGAGAAAGGGAGAAAACAGATCTGAGAAGCAGAGAAGAACCAGGACACTCGAGTCCTCAAAAATACTGCTTAACAATGCAATCATGGTTCCTCTAGGGTACTGTTATTTAAGTTACTGCCAAGACGTGCTGTTGAAGTATCAGCATACAGATGAAGGAGTGGCTGAAACATATTTCAAAGCTCTAGGTATACTGTGACTTATTTAAATGTAGGGACCACATGGGTCTCACGTTTATCTGGCATTACCCGTGGCACCTCTCACAGGGCTGGGAAAGCCCTGAGCTTTCATGCCTGCAGCAGATGTCATCTTTCTCTCTCCTTTGAACCCACAGAACACTTTATGTGTATCTCTGTGTGGAATTTATCACTTCACCTTGCATTTTTGGATTTGTTATTCTTTTTTTTTTTTTTTTTTTTTTTGTGGTACGTGGGCCTCTCACTGCCATGGCCTCTCCCGTTGCGGAGCACAGGCTCCGGACGCGCAGGCTCAGTGGCCATGGCTCACGGGCCCAGCCGCTCCGCGGCATGTGGGATCTTCCCGGACCAGGGCACGAACCCGTGTCCCCTGCATCGGCAGGCGGACTCTCAACCACTGCACCACCAGGGAAGCCCCTGTTATTCTTATGTATGTGTATTTAGATGCTCCTGAAGACCTGAAGCTTCTTGAGAACAAAGGCCATTCCCTATACATTTGAGGAACTTGCACAGGGACAGATGAGTAAACAATTATAATAGTGTTATTATTGCCAGGACTGAGGTAAGCAGGGGGTGATACAAAGAGCCCAGAGGAGGGTCACTCTATCTGGAGGGTCAGAGAAGACATTTGGGAAGTTACTTGAACCTGAGTTAAGTTCTCCAGTTGTCAGACCTGGCCAACAAAAAGGAGGGAAGTGGCAAGCAAGTGAAGCTGAAAGGCTAAGCAAGGGCCAGGCCAGGAAGAGCTTAGAAGGATTTCACGGAGGTCACTGACATAGGCAGATTCGCATTTTAGAAAGAGCACTAATGTTAGAGGGATTACCAGGGCAGCACTGCTGAAAGGAAGACTATCAAGCCAGGAAGCTCCTAACTTTTCACTGAAAACTAAGGCAGTGACTAAGCAATGAGAGAAGCAGTGGATTGAGATAATCCCTTGCCCATCCTGTTCCTCTCAATCCCCCAAAGGAGGTTTCTTATCTGGGAAAATCAAATAAGAGAAGTTCCAGGTCCAGAGATAATGGGAAAAGCAGAAAGTAGCAATAAGGTGCTAGACTGAAAATATTGATAAGAGGACGAACCTAAGTTTGCAGGCAGATCTCTTGGCTGCCTTCAACCATCCAGATCTAGGAGCATCCTCCCAGTCAACAAGCTAAGATAGTTATGGAGCAGGCCTAGAGAGAAACCATCCACATCAGGAGGATAGCGGGCTCCAGAAGGAAGGTCAGGGTAGTAGGGAAATGGAAGTAATATATCATCTGATAGGGTTGACTGTAGGAAAAACTGTCCTGAGAGGCCATTGGAAGTTGTAGGAAAATTGAAAGAAAACGAATCAAATGAAAAACAAAGCAATTGTTAACTCCAAGAAAATGAAAGGTTGAAAAGGAAGGAAAACAATCATAGCACACTTCCTAGACAGCAGTCAAGCAATATTTAGAATTATAATGAAATCAGAGACTAATGATTAACCTCAACATTGTTAATATAGCCTATTGGGAGAATTGAAGAGAATGAAAGGGAAAAGTATGTGTACATGTAAGAGATTAACTGATGTCGAAAACTGATGAACCAAGCAACAGCACCATAAGCAATTACATGCACATTTAGAGGTTAAATACAAACAGAAAGAGCTAGGAAAGCAGATACTCTAGGGAGCGGGGTGCGAAGTCAGGAAGGATGAAGCTGGGCGTGCGGTTTATCACCAGAAGCCTTTTCACACTATTTGACTTCTATGCATGTGTATGTACTTTGATAAAGATTAACAATGCTAATTTTAAAAGTAAGGCAATAGGGCTTCCCTGGTAGCGCAGTGGGTGAGAGTCTGCCTGCCAATGCAGGGGACACGGGTTCGTGCCCCGGTCCGGGAAGATCCCACATGCTGCGGAGCAGCTGGCCCCGTGAGCCATGGCCGCTGAGCCTGCACGTCCGGAGCCTGTGCTCCGCAACGGGAGAGGCCACAACAGTGAGAAGCCCGCGTACCGCAAAAAAAAAAAAAAAAAAAAAAGTAAGGCAATAAAATAAGTGTAGGTTACTCAGACTTACCTAGAAGCACTAACTTCTTCAGAGTCTCAGAATGATCCACATAGTCTCGAAGTGTGAAAGAAGATGGGGGCAGTGCAGGGTCCACAATAATCTGAACGGCCTCCTCCTCGGAAATTGGCTGCAATGGAGACAATGGAGGCAAATCGTCCAGTCCTTTGCAGCCAGGATATGGAAAAGGAGAAGTGAGTTAGCTCTCCAATCTGTACACTTGAAGCTCTTTCTATAAAGACAGCCTCTTGCCTAGTGTTCTTCTTTTTGAATCTTGGCATCATTTCTGAATTAAACATCTCAAAATTCCATATATTTTCTACCTTCTAAGAGGTAAGGTTAAGACTCTTTAGAGATATCAACTACTATTCCTCCAAGATAAGAAATCTGTTGGTGAAATCCTGTACAAAATTCCTTTCCTTCACTTGTAATCAACAGGTATGAATGCTAAAGACCAACTGACCTTCAAGTACATTTTGAGAACGAGTTTACCACAGCTTGTTAAGTTGGCCAAAAGTACAACATACCAGCCTGAATTGTATGGGTTCAAGTCATCACATCCTGAAGTGCCTTCACTTTGATCCCTTCTCCTCCAAGTTATTCTCAAATATGTCTATAAGAGGACTTCTATGATTCTGTTTCTATCACCTACAATCCTTTGCCAAGGACATGACCTCTCTAGTATAGCCTTGAGTCTGAGGTTTGGTTTGTCTTAAGTCAAACCCTTAAGTATAGAAGATGCTGGTAACTGTAACCTACCTTAGGCTAAGGAATCAGGGCCGTGACTTTTTATTCTATTTTTGGTCTCTAATCACTACCCTTTCTCATTTCTCATAGCCAGCCACCCCTCCCTGCCCTTACCCCCCAGCTTGCTTGCTGTCGTCTTCTACTTAACCTAATATTATCTCATTTACGGTGAAATATTCCTTGCATAGGAATGTGCCTAGAACGAGAAGCACAGGAGGGAGAAGACTGACTAAAAAAAACTACATGAGGGCGCTTTTTGGGATATGCTATTTGTTGTTCTTTTTGTTCTATATGTTGTTTGTGGTGGCTGTTACACAACTAAAAGCATTATGTCAAAATTCATAAGACCGTATACCCAAAAAGGAGGACTGTTACTTGGGTAAAATTATACCCTAACTAGGTATATAGAATAGGGTAAATTAAATCCTAATAAACCTAATTACCACCAGAAAAATTTTTTTTTAAAGAATCTAAATAACGAACTTAGAAAGTGTTATTCATATAGCTATAAAACATTCTTATACATATTAATCTCTAAACTTTTTCTTAGTTAGTAAAATAGAGGCATAATAGAAGCAAATGAATAGAAGCGGCATTGTTCTTTTTCTCTCCTGGCACAAAGTATGACTTGAAACGGGCAAACAAAATGTAAACAGGTAGTCGTTCAATCTACCGAAGTGGGGCAAAGGGGAATTTTCTGAAACTTGAAAATTACCTTCTAGAGACAGTTCAGAATCAAAGCTGGGTATCTTTTGTGACGGCTCATTCACAGAAGGAAGCAGAGTGTTTTGGGTGCACTTAATCTCTTGACTACTTGAGTTGGTAGACTGGGAACTATTCCACACAGAGGAAGTCCGATAAGTCTTAAACCCCGACCGGAGAAAGCAATCGTCAGAGGACAGCTGAGGCTGAGCAAAAAAGCCAGGCAACAATGTTTTTCCTGCTCTGGGAAAACATTTTCTGAGTTGCATAGCGGTAAGGAAGCTACTCAACTTAATTGAGTTGAGCCATCTGGGTATCTGTTGGGCTAGCAGGGCCATTTTTCTTAAAGTAGCCTACAAAAGAAATACATAACTATCAAAAAAGAGAAACGTATTTTACTTAAATGTTTAAAACAGTATTCAAACAACAAAAAGATAAACTGGAAATTATTTTTTTCTAATTAAAAGGAGTTTAATAAATTTAGATCCCTAAAGCAGTCAGATGTTTTTAAGCTCAGGAAAAGCCCAAAACAAGGCAGTTTCAGTTACAAACCAAAAGACAGGAACTTCTGAACTGGAAAAATAAAGATATACTTTGCAATTTAAAAACAAAAAGCAAAATCAGTGGCGTAAGAAAAACAATTAAAACAAAAATCTGTAAATGTTCAAATTACAGCTGAACCTGTTAATATTTAAAGAAAACAGGTGATGCAATTAAGTGCTCTTGAAATTTGGTTTGAAGGACATTTAAGAAGATTGCTGATCAAAATAACACTGAGGGCTTCCCTGGTGGCGCAGTGGTTGAGAGTCCGCCTGCTGATGCAGGGGACACGGGTTCTTGCACCGGTCTGGGAAGATCCCACGTGCCGCGGAGCGGCTGGGCCCGTGAGCCATGGCCACTGAGCCTGCGCGTCCGGAGCCTGTGCTCCGCAACGGGAGAGGCCCCAACAGTGAGAGGCCCAAGTACCGCAAAAAAATAAAAATAAAACAAAATAACACTGAATTATTCAGATGCATTTTATGTATGTACATTAATCACAAAATAAAAACAGGAAGAATTCTACTTAGTCTTAAATGAATCATAAAATATTATCATTGCTATCTAGAAGGTTGTTTCTTGCTTCATTCTCAGGGTTGAGCCCTATTATTACACAGATAAAGCCGTTCCTCAAAAGACAATTGAACAAAACCAGTTTTGCCAAATTCTGTTTGTAGGAAAAAAGAAAAAGCCTTTAAAAAAAAGGGGTCAAAACTAACAAGCAAAATGAACAGACAGAAATAATAAGCAACCAGCAGTGAATATACGTATATTTTGACCGAAAAAGCAGTTGTTTTTAAAAGAGACTTTTATCAGGAAAGGACTTTTATATTTAGCCAGCTTAATTAAAGGGTAAATTTGGTGCATATTATTTTATATTAAGTAAGACAATCCATATAAAATACAGCATAGAGTCCAGCATATGCAAAATGCCCAACAAATGTTAGCCATCATCAATATTATTATTGATTACACAACCAAACATAAATGAATTCTGAATTAACTGTTGCATACAACTTTTTGATTTCTCTCTGTACTGAAATTCAGCTTGCTTTATGCTCTGAATTAGACCAGATAAATGCTTGAGGGTCTAACCTCCTCTTAGAGATTTGTGGTTTAGGGAAGTCTCCTGAAAGGAATTTATAAAAGTGAAATGTCTCACTGTCATTCTGAAATGATCTTAGAAAGGAAAAAAGTATTTACAATAAATAGCCTTGTGGGATAGGTGACTTTTGTTAAACTTTGGTGGGAAATGAGTCTCCAAATCTGCCGTGTTTCCCTTCAATCCTACAATATTCATTCTCTGCACAGCGATGTCATAAGGGCATTGAGCTGGAAGCCAGAAGACCTGTTATGCTGCATTAAGACTAAGTTTCTCACCGTGATCCAGCACAATGACTGGCCCATGATGGGGGGTTCAATAACCATTCTTTAAATGACAACTTTTAAAAAGGTTACGGGTACAATAAGGTGATTCTTAAGCTCCAAAGTGTTCTGACTTCTCAGTTTGTCTAAGCAATGTCCTACTTTAAAGCAAACTCCTGAAATCCCAAACCCACTCTGAAGCCTCTAGAGTAAGGCTCAAATTAAAACTCCTCTCACATTAGAACGATTTGCTTTTGAATTCTATCCATACTCATTAAAAGTTCTTTATGCAAACAACTAATGGTTATCCTTCTGTTTTTATTTACAAGCGCACTATCTTCACTAAATCATCATTTCATTGTTGTGTATACCTCTTAACAGTTGATTAATTGTTCGTTCACGAGAGCAGGGCTGGGTCTCATCTCTGGATCCACCCACCCAGTGACTATTCCCTCTAGCCCAGAGCCTTGCACTGCTCCAATGTTTTATGGATGGAAATGAATCAGTTGCAACTACGGTTAGCTCATCTGCTTACACAGTATTTAAACCCGGTAAAGCATCTGCGCATGTGTATAAAAGCCCTACCCCGTGATCAGCTCTCTAACACGACCCTTTTCATCAGGAAGGTTAAAGTTAAAGAAAAAAACCTGTAATAATTCTGAAGTCCATTAAAATATGTCATATACTAGTTCTCAACTGCGTGCCTTAGTATTTCGTTAGGAATAGGAATTGGCACTTAAATATTCTTTGGCGAGGGTTCAAGATTTCGACCTGTGTAAGGCTAATAAATGAAATCAGGAGATGAAAGGTGGGTGGGAGGATGCTGCGTAATAAGGGGCCTCTCATCTACTGATTGACGCCCTCCCTAGGCCATTTAGTTCCCCAACCGAACTTCCGGAGGAAGGCCGTTGACATGCTGGCCCTCCTTCCGCGTCCTCCGCAAAGAGCGCGAATAAACAACATGATTGCGTTTTCGTTTCATCTGCCAAGAAAACAAAACGAAACTATTCACCCTTAATTGAAGACCTAAAGGCCAAGAGGTCCCCGGGCGCGGCCTACAGCAGGATAGGGCCGGACCCGAACCCCAGCAGGGCGCACGCCCCTCGCGCTCCGGCGGTTGTCCGCTTTACCTGTGGCGAGGCCTATGCCTCGTGGTCTTTCTCGCAGGGACCACCAGACTGGCCGGGCCGCGCGAACTGCCCCGCAGCACAGATACCCCACTTGTCTGCCCGCCCGCCGGTTGCTCCTAGCTCCCTAGCCCACGTGGGCTGAGGCCGGAGTGGGCCAGACCATCCGCGAGGCTGCGCGGGGGAAGAGCGGGCGGCGTGCAGGGGACAGAGCCGGCCAAGGGCCACAGTTTCCCTTCTCCTGCGCGTTGCCTCCCTCCAGACTCTTCCACTTAGAATCTAAAGCCACCGCGAGTCCCTAGACATGCCCGTCCCCCAACGCCAGCCGGGGCCGGGCGAGCGGCGTCCCCCGCCCGAGGCTGCGTTGGCGGCGCCGCGACCCCGCCCTCCCGCGCCTGTCCTTCCCTCTGCTCAGTTCCTTTGCTTCTCGCCAGACCCGGCCCCGGCGTCCAGCAACCTTCTCGCTGCGGCTCGTCACCTCCGGGGTCCCAGCCTCCACGGGCCGGGGCCGCCGCCGCCGCCGCAGGACGGGGAGGCGGGCCATGGCGTCCTGCGTGGGGAGCCGGACCCTGAGCAAAGATGATGTGAACTACAAGATGCATTTCCGGATGATCAACGAGCAGCAAGTGGAGGACATCACCATCGACTTCTTCTACCGGCCGCACACCATCACTCTGCTCAGCTTCACCATCGTCAGCCTCATGTACTTTGCCTTCACCAGGTGAGGCGGGCCGGGCTGCGCTGGGGGCGCGCCTTTGGGCGAAGGGAAGGGGCGGATGGAGGCCGTGGCGGGGAGCATGGCCGGGTGAGGAAGTGGGCTGATTGCTCCACGCACACGCTTTTCCACCGGCGGGTATGTCACCTAGCGCACCCAGCTTCCTTCCCGACAGCTCCTCTGGACCGGCGTTCGTCCCTACCCTCCAACCCAGCCCCATCCCCACTCCCATCGCCACCGCCACCCCTCTCCACGCCACCTTTCCCCATACAGCGCCTCGGGCCACATCAGGAACACTCGTGGGTCACCTAGCACGATCTCCTCCCCCGCCCTTCTCCCGCGGCTCTCAGCGTCGCTCCCCACACACATCACGACACGGGCCCCCTCCTCTCCGGCCTCCGTCCCTGCCTAGCACACCGCATGAATCATCTGGTATGCACCACTTTCAGCACATACCTCTTCACACTGAAAACACCCCTGCCTTCCACGCACCATACACAGGCCCAGGACACAACTCAGACCCCTTCCCGCGGAACTCCTCCAGTGTTCGGCACTACCCGCGTGCACAAAATGCACACGTGCGGTGCACTCCAGTCTGTATGCATGGCACGCAAATCATCTCGCGTAACCCTTCCCCCAGCCTCAAACACCACTGTCTATACCACAACAGAAAATGCGGCGTGGACACACACATCACAGCGGACATTCCAGCACTGCCACACAGACACGAACCCACCACACATCACACAGCGCACGCTCTGTTCTGTTCATCATCTAACATACATGCTGAAATGAGACATTGTCAGGCCATTGTAGCAGTGCCTGGTGCATCATAAGTGCTATGGAAAGTATTAAATAAAACGCACAAACCTCACACACTGTAGCAGAACTCTCATATCCCCCTGAAAACACACACACACACACACACACACTCAAAGCACTTCTAATATATACCTGTGCATAGGAGTTAACCCTGCCCAACTTTTGTCAGCCCAGAGCTTATAACTCTACCTCACTGAACGTGTGGCCCTTCAACCCCAAGCCAGGGAACTGATTCATGCCTAAATGACAGGCACACCTTGGGTCCTACTTATCAGGATTTATGTTTTCTGAATGAACCTCTTTAAAGAGAGAAAAGGTGTGCCTCTACCACGCTTAAAAGACCAACCCAGAGAACTGGAGTATGGGAGCCACACTGCTGGTCTCAAGACTGTTCGCGTGACCTTGGTTAAGTTATTTAACCTTTCTCTGAGACTCAGGATCCACTTCTAAAATGGGGATAAAATATGTACTTACTGCATATGGAGTTATAAGGATTAAATGAATATGTGTGAATGCACTTAGCAGAGTACTTGGCACTTGATGAATAATTAATGTCAGTTACTTCTCTCCTAGTATATTTATCCAACAATCAATGGTTCTCAGCCCAGATCCGCAGAAACTGCACAGGGTTATATTCGGTGGCCACAAGCATTGAGGGAACTTCTGGTATTTAGTGGGTGGGAGTTATACATGTTTATCACGCAAGGGACAGCATTGTACGACAAAGAGTTGTCCCTTACCGGCACACATAGGCACATACACACAAGTGCCAATGGTGTCTCCCTTGAGAATCAATGCACTTTTGCAGATTTTCATAAAACTAATAATGTCCTCCTACATCACACTTGTTCCTTATCTCCACAACGCATTTGACTCTTACTTCTTATTTTGTCAGTGTTTATCTATTTGCATGACTCTATCTAAAGCCATAAAGCATATAAACAATTACTCTTAATAATTGAGGGAAACAGCTACTATTATTGTAAAATATTCTGCTAACGCTCTGCAGCGGGGTAAGACCAGATCTTTCCACAGTATCCAACCAAGAACATATTTCTAGCTTTGGAGAGAAATCAGTCTTGTCCCTATTTATGGTTGCCCTCAAATACTTATCATGTCATCTGATTTTACCAGCTAGTGGCTGTGAGGCCACTTAGTTTTGCTAAGCCTCAGTTTCCTTATCTGTGAAAATATCTAGTAATACCCGATAGGATTTTGTTATAAGGGCTCAATTCATTTTTTTAGATAATCTGTATTTAGCTCAATGCATGACAAATAGTAGGTGCTCAGTAAACCTTAGCTATTGTTATTATTACATCATTTCATTGTATGCTAATGCCTTCTAAATTATGTTTGTCATTGAGTGAGAGTGTGGTGTGCTCTATAATTAAGAAAAAGGATAAAGACTTTGGGAAAATGGACAGTGCTTTGCGTGGATAACATGCATCCCTGTTTCATATTAACTTCAGTTTCACTTCATCTCGTGTGGGTTGGCAAGAGATGGAATTAGTGCAGGAGTTTCTTTGGAACTTAGAAAAGTAACTATGGTATTTTATTTTAAATAACGAGAAGCAAGAATGAGCAGTTTGTTTCAAACTTTTATCTTTAATATTATTCTAGGCCCTTTCAGAACAGATCTCTCTTCCTCTTTTCTAATACAGAAAGTCACATTCTTCTGGAATTTCCCTTTTACAGCATATTCTGCCAAAGCATTCAATAAATTACAGCAGTGAAACTATAAGAAATGAATATGAATTTTAACAGCTTGTCAAACATAATAGAAAAAGCATAATCTGAACCTCAGGCTATGGCCTTTTCCAAAAATGATAATAATTTTACTTCTTCCACTAATTTCAGAGACAGAAGTCACATATTAAAGAACTACTTAACAACAAGTTTCATGTTATAGAAAATCATAAGCACCATTAGTACAATTAGTACTTACTATGTCTTACTCATTTTTTGTAATGATTTGTGACCCTTTAAACTGAGACATTACAGTGATAGCTCTGTCTTCTTCCATAAAGACTGAAAGTAATTACTTCGTAAAGTTTGTTTTTCAAAGACTAGTAGTTGAAGAGAGTCAGCGATAGAGTACTTTTGGGGTGTCAGGTTACCCGTATGTGTGAAACAGTACCTGGGTCATGTCACATGCTGCAGAGACACAGCAAGCATTTAGGATTGGCAAGGATTAGATGCCTCTCACAGAAGTCTGAGACAAGTTTGGACTTATCAAGCAGTTCTTTTGTTAAATAACAACTAGGCCAACTCACTGCTAAATCATAGCGTTTAAACCGACAGTCCCCATCACTAACAATAAAGCCAGATGTTATCGAATCATTCCCCCTAAGATTGGAAAAGCTCACTTTGCCACATTTTCAGGTAAGTATTTTTAGAAATTAAACGCTTCGGCCTATGCCTTATAAGTTTGTTCAGCCAAAGTAGGGCAAGGAGAGCCTTTCTCTTACGCTCAGAGTGCCTCCTATTTACACTGCTTTCGTAGGTTGGTAAACTTGGAAATGTTGAATGGCCTTACTTTCAAACACTCAGGCTTTAGATTTGAAAACACCAAACTTTACGAGATCACATTCGTTGCAGCTCACTGTCTCCTTCAGAGGCACCTGGCAGTAAAACAGTGGCGTCAGTCTCTCCAGTGACACTTGTCCAGCAAAAGTCATCACCTACCCAGAAGAGATTGCCTTCCTGCAGCTTCCGGCACCTAAGGGATCATCTGCTTACCTATGGTTTCTCCTTGATATGGGACTGAGGAAGCGGATGAGGGCAGGGAAATGGACAGGCTTTGGATTGATTGATTTTTATTTGTTTGTGCTACTGCTTTTTTACTTCATTTCCTTTAGTGGCTTTGGAGCTCCAGCTCTTCATCTTATCACGGAGCCATAATTCCACCTTCTGTGTGTCTTCCCTCCTGGATGGCTGCCAGGCTTCCTGTTCTTTCCCTCTAGACCATATCAATTCCCATTAGAAAATAACTCCTGACCCTGCTGATTCAGTTGTCTTGAGCCTGTTTCCTTTATGTACATCATGTTCTTTCTCTCCCAATAACAGAAGGCCTGGCTGTCCTTGTTCCAGGACACCAGCAATGTTAAGTGATCCTCCATTTCGGCTGTGTACTGGGGCTACACCAGCCCTGGAGGTGAAGCAGCGCACTGTGTTAGGTGTTGCCATCTAAAGAGGTTCCAGTTAGCAGCCATCATAACATTTGTCTTCCTCACTTCCTATTTGAATCATATTTTTTATTGGATTTAAATAAGCGCCTTTTAGGGACTTCCCAGGCAGTCCAGTGGTTAAGACTCCGCGCTTCCACTGCAGGGGGCGCGGGTTCGATCCCTGGCCGGAGAATTAAGATCCCGCATGCCCCGTGGTGCGGCCATAAATAAATAAGCCCCTTTTAATTATCCTCTCTTATCCTTATTTCTGGTGTTTTATGTCCTTAATAAGATTATACGTTTATTGAAGGAGAAAATGTGTCATATTTCTTTGGGGTCTTCTGTAGTAAATAAGCATCTGAATGACTCAAACATTTATTTGGTTTAGATGATGCTTACCTCAGAGAATTTACATGCCTAGTATTGCTGCCCAGTGTTTAGCATTTTAGGTATAATTCTGTTACCAAGTGTAATATAGTTTATCTTGTGATATAATCCCTCTAGCCCCAGATTTCTATAGGGGAGTTATCAGCGTTTTAATCTCAACAAATCTGGAAGCCAGGGACTCGTCCAGGCAGCTAGGACTGCTTTCCTGAGCCCTAGGTCCTGGCATCACATTTAATTTAGTTCAACAGTCCGCACTCCACCCAGCCCAGGTCTCCGCCATCCTGGAGTTCATCTAGTTTATCTTCACCAGGTCCAGTTGGGCCCTAGTAGCTTTCAGAGCTGTCCTCCTCTGCCCATGCCCAGGCTTTGGCTCAGCAAACCCTCTGCTCTCTGGGATAGACACTCCCAGGCCTTGACTCCATTTACCTCCAGTCCATCCTCCACACCGCTTTCCTCATGACCTTCTGAAATCGAGATTGTGATCTCATCTGTCCCTTGCTTATACTCTTTCCCTGGATCCCCGTCACCTATAGCACGTTGCTGGACTCTAATGCCAGGATGGTACCTCTCTCTGACTGGAGAGCACCTCCTGCCTACCCGTGAGCCCATGGCATTCCTGGCAACGCACCT